CGCATCGCCAAGACAATCCTAAGTCAAAAGAACAAAGCTGGAGGCATCACGCTACCTGACTTCAAACTATACTACAAGGCTACAGTAACCAAAACAGCATGGTACTGGTACCAAAACAGAGATATAGACCAATGGAACAGAACAGAGTCCTAGAGTCCTCAGAAATAATACCACACATCTACAGCCATCTGATCTTTGACAAACCTGAGAAAAACAAGAAATGGGGAAAGGATTCCCTATTTAATAAATGGTGCTGGGAAAATTGGCTAGCCATAAGTAGAAAGCTGAAACTGGATCCTTTCCTTACTCCTTATACGAAAATTAATTCAAGATGGATTAGAGACTTAAATGTTAGACCTAATACCATAAAAACCCCAGAAGAAAACCTAGGTAATACCATTCAGAACATAGGCATGGGCAAGGACTTCATGTCTAAAACACCAAAAGCAACGGCAACAAAAGCCAGAATTGACAAATGGGATCTAATTCAACTAAAGAGCTTCTGCACAGCAAAAGAAACTACCATCAGAGTGAACAGGCAACCTACAGAATGGGAGAAAATTTTTGCAATCTACTCATCTGACAAAGGGCTAATATCCAGAACCTACAAAGAACTCAAACAAATTTACAAGAAAAAAACAAACAACCCCATCAAAATGTGGGCAAAGGATATGAACAGACATTTCTCAAAAGAAGACATGCATACAGCCAACAGACACATGAAGAAATGCTCATCATCACTGGCCATCAGAGAAATGCAAATCAAAACCACAATGAGATACCATCTCACACCAGTTAGAATGGCAATCATTAAAAAGTCAGGAAACAACAGGTGCTGGAGAGGATGTGGAGAAATAGGAACACTTTTACACTGTTGGTGGGATTGTAAACTAGTTCAACCATTATGGAAAACAGTATGGCGATTCCTCAAGGATCTAGATCTAGAAGTACCATATGACCCAGCCATCCCATTACCGGGTGCATACCCAAAGGATTATAAATCATGCTGCTATAAAGACACATGCACACGTATGTTTATTGCATCACTATTCACAATAGCAAAGGCTTGAAATCAACCCAAATGTCCATCAGTGACAGATTGGATTAAGAAAATGTGGCACATATACACCAAGGAATACTATGCAGCCATAAAAAAGGATGAGTTTGTGTACTTTGTAGGGACATGGATGCAGCTGGAAACCATCATTCTCAGCAAACTATCACAAGAACAGAAAACCAAACACCGCATGCTCTCACTCATAGGTAGGAATTGAACAATGGGATCACTTGGACTCGGGAAGGGGAACATCACACACCGGGGCCTATCATGGGGAGGGGGGAGGGGGGAGGGATTGCATTGGGAGTTATACCTGATGTAAATGACGAGTTGATGGGTGCAGCACAGCAACATGGCACAAGTATACATATGTAACAAACCTGCACGTTATGCACATGTACCCTAGAACTTAAAGTATAATAATAATAAAAAGAAAAAGAAAAAAAAAAATAAAAGCTGAGCAAGTGCATATCCTATGACTCAGCAATTCAACTCTTAGGTATATACTCAACAGCAATGAGTGTGTATGTTCAGGAAAGGACATGTAAAGGGGTATTCATAGCAGCATTATTCATAATGGTCATAAACTGGCAATAACCCACCTGTCCAACAACAGTGGAGTGGATAAATAAACCACCTCATAGTGACACTGAACAACATGTGCTGCTCTCCTTGTCAAACAAGTTGCCTGCCTAAGACTTTTCTATGTTTTGTCAACTTTCCACAATTAAATTTATATTGCTTTAAAACAATGCTGAAAGAAAAACTAAAGGAAAAAAGCCACATAAACCCCATATTTATTATTTCTACTGAAACGAAGTGTCTGTGGCTCCAGACAAGGCCATTTGAACATTTGATCTTTCCAAGCCACACTGCTCAGTCAATCCAGTGGTCTTATGTCAAAGCACTCGACCTTCAGCGCTCCCCTCACAGGGTTCAGGTAATCCCTTGTGCCTCTTCCATCTTCCACAGATGTTTCAAGTTCATTCACTAGACAAGATGTGGGCTAGAAGTCTCTAATTAGACATTCCTCTTTCTGAGGACATCCTCCTCTCCCACCAGCCTGCCTAGAGAACTGTTCTTACAACCTCACCTACTCTTCATCCACAAAGGAACCTCCATCTGTCCTGTTGTCCTTCACATGAGCAAATGGCTCAAGCAGGTTGGGCCCTGAGGGTTCAGAATGACTTGCTGTAAGGATTCTGGGAGTCTGAGATTACCTTGAGGTTAACCTTGGGTTACCTGGGGCATTCCTGTGTTCTCTGTTCCTCCCATTAGGTCAGGCTTACAGCTAACCTCTGAGACGTTAATCCCTCACAACACACACACACACTGCTTAATGCTATTCACTGTCTTGTGATGCCTTAGGCCATCTGTGGAAGTGAGGAAGCTCTGTCCTTCTGATGAAGTGGTAGGAGAGCTACCTCAGCATCCCTGAGTGGGTTCAGGAGACTGGCTGATCCTGAGCTTGTAAAAGTGCCAGGTGATACCAACATGATAGGAGTGCAGTCCTCAAGGCACTTGCTGACTTTATCCCTCCTACTAATCCCTTCTCCACCCTTCTGCCCATATGCCACTGCCCAAGTTGTTTTGCAAATCATGCTTTTGGGATTGGGCAATGTGTGGCATGGGTCAAGACCCACTCTATGAGGACTACGAACTGAGAGAAGGCAGAAACAAACTTTCCTTTTTGATGTCAGCTGTTCTCTGAAAATGGATGAAGATGTGAATATGAACAAATTCCAGGGAGAAGACAGTAAGGACGACTGTCCCCTGAAAGGTCATTATCCTCCAGTATTTGGAAATCTTCCTTTACCTGGGAACTGAATAGAGGTTTTTTGTTTGTTTGTTTTTTTCTTTTCTTTTCTTTCTTTTTTTTTTTTTTTTTTTTTTGTTTTTTTTGAGACAGGGTCTCTCTCTGTCCTCCCACCTGGAGTGCAGTGGCGTGATCATGGCTCACTGCAGGCTCAACCTCCCAGGCTCAAGCAATCCTCCCACCTCTCAGCCTCCGGAGTACCTGGGACTACAGGTGTGCAGCACCAGCAAGTGGCTGTTGAACTGCTTTTATTCCTTCCAGTTGCCTGCAGCAGTTTCTAAAACTGCTTTTATTCTCAAAGAAATACAAATAGAACTATCTTTTGACTTAACAGTTCCATTACTGAGGATATACCCAAAGGAAAATGAATCGTTCTACAAAAAAAAAAAAAACGAAAAACAAAAAAACACACATGCACCCATATGTTCATTGCAGCGCTATTCACAACAGCAAAGACATGAAATCAACCTAAATGCCCATCATTTGTGGACTAGATTAAGAAAATATGCTAAATATACACCATGGAATAAGACATAGCCATAAAATGAATGAGCTCGTGTCCTTTGCAGGAACCTGGATGCAGCTGGATGCCATTCCCCTGAGCAAACCAGTGCAGGAACAGGAAACCAATTATCACATGTTTTCATTTACAAGTGGGAGCTTAGCATTGGGTGCACATGAACTTTAATGGAAACAGTAGACACTGGGGACTATAAGAACAGGGAGGGTGGGAGAGGGGCAAGGATGGAAAAACTACCCATTGGGAACTATGCTCACTAGCTGGGTGACAAGTTCAATCATATCCAAAACCTCAGCAGCACACAATATACTTGTGTAACAAACCTGCATGAGTACACTTGAAAGTAAAATAAAAGTTGAAAGAAAAACAACAAAAAATGCTTTTATTGCTAAATGTGTTCATCCTGCCTCAACATTTCATTTCATTTTCCAAAAAGCGAAAAGTACCGAGCTCTGATTTTCATATAACTTTCTTTCTTCACCTTTCTTAAGTGATTTATCACTGACAGACTCTACGAAATTGTTCTTCACCCCAGAATTCTGACGTCTATAAATGTTTGAGTCAAGTAGTCAAGAAGCTGTTAGGCTGGCTTAGCACATTTTCATAGCTACAGCCAGTAAGGAGGCCTTGAGTCCAAATGGATTTGGACACTTTATTATGCATTACATGGCAGGCCACATGAGTTTCATGTTTGTATCAGTTGCTGTGGTTCCCCAAGTCCTACCTGGTGGTCTGTGACACAGCTGAGGAATTTTGAGCTTAGGAATCCCCCAGTCTTATAAGGGCACGGCTAACATACCTGATCCGATGTTGCCATGGAAGAATCCATTATCATTATTATTCTGGTTAGAAAACAAATCTGCCCTCTGACCGAGAGAGAGACGTTAGCTATATCTCCTTGCAATGTCTCTGGGTTGGGCAGGAGACTCAAGCATTATTACACTGGAATGTAAGCAAATACAATTCCTGACCTGGAACAGCTTTGCAAATATCCTCAAACAAAGCTGTAAATGCCATTTGTTCAGAAGACGTGCAGAAACACCAGACCCACGTCTTTGGGTGGAGAAGAGAATACCACTTGGATCAATGAAACAAAAGTCATTTCGAAAATTCAACATTCAATCTTAACGAAATTTCTCATTAATAAGAATGAGAAATTTCGTTAAGATTGAATGCTGAATTTTTAAAATTACTTTTAAATGACTTTGTTAGGTAAATTAGGAACAAAACAAAGCATGTTTAACTTGATAGGCATGAGAATTAAAAGACGTCAGTGTATTAGATGGTGAAACACCAGGATAATTCCAACAAAGGCAAGCAACCTAGATGCCTGATATCACCACTTCGGTCAAGACTTTACTGCAGATTCTACCAAATTCTCTAAGAAAAACACAAAAAGAATAGATGTGAATAATGAGTAGAAGAGCAAAATTTTATCACCATTTTCAGAAAATTTCATCATCCTCCAAGAGAAGTAAAATGTAAGAGAATCAATGGAAAAATACCAAAAGTAAAATAGAAGACTTTATTGAGTGGGAATTACATCAAATAAATATACAAAACATTTTCTGCAAGCAACCTATCACAAATTATAATATAATAAAAAAGGAGTGCATTCTAAACAGTAATTATAAATAACAATATATCTAGAAATAAACTTAGCAAAAATGGTTCTATTGTTAAAAGAAAATGAAAAACTTTAATGAAGGCCATGAAAATTCTGTACCCATGAATATGTCATATTCTAATAAAACCTGCATGAGATATGAGAAAATGTTTAGGATTACAATTGAACTTAAAGGTGACCTGGATAAATACACAGCTATGTAACAGCTATAAAACCAAGACCGGACTAAAGAAAAGCAGCTAATGAACAGGGAATTGGCTTAAGTGATAGCTAACTTAACGCAACAGTTAAACAGTATGGTTCTGGATTAGGAACTGACAAATTGATTAATGGAAAAGGATAGCAGGTCCAGAAATAAATTCCCATATACATGAAAATGTCACACACACACACACATGCTATAGGGGAATGGAAAGGAAAAGAGACAGAACAAGTCTGACCGCATTCTGGAGAAGCAGCAGAACTCATTCCTGCAGAAAACTTTCTTACCTTCAGAACAAATGAGGCTCTATAGAGCTCCGTCACCACCAGCCCTGCTGTCAGCCCTAGAAGATCCCAGGAAGGGGAGGCCAAATGACACAGGCAATGAATGCATCCTCACTCCTCCTCAGGAGACTGGGAGGTAAGGGTGTTGGTTTTAGGAGCAGAAGCCTCAGATCAGCAATGGATCCCGGGCCCTGATTGCAGCCAAGGGGTTGGCCCCAGCATGAGAACCCATGTTGTACTAAAGCCAGATATAGCGGGCCCTGGAGTCTGGCTGGCCCCTGCTGTCATCCCCTGGAGACCCCAGGCAGGATGAGATTCCTCAACTTCCCAGACAGAGGTCTCCTGGAGGTGAGAGCCATGGTCTGAGGGGCCAGGCCTCAGATCAGTAGGAAAGAGAAAGTCTATTCCATTCCAGAAGTCACGGTGAGGATCCCGAGTGAGTATTCAGGGGATCAGTCGCTCTGGAGTGGAGAGGATGCCAGAGTCCCACCCCTGCTGTCGGCTCTGGAAGGCCCGGGCAGAGGTAGCAAGATGAAATGTTTTCTTTCTTCCCTGCAGGTGTCTCAGGATGGTGAGGTCTTGGATAAGTGGTGGTGGAGGACTCAGTTCAGCGGAAGGGAGGTTACCCATTCCCTGCCAGGTATCAAGACACAGTCCCTGGATGAGGATGAAAGGCACAACCCACCCCAGAACAGAGGTGGTCCCACAAAATCTGACTTCTGTGGTCAGCCATGCAAGGCCCCCAATAGGGCTATCTCACTGAGGCCTCCACTAGCTTTCTCCTAAAGAGGCTCTCTGTGTGGCTCAGACTGGATCTAAGGGGTTGGCCTCAAGTGAACAGAAAGAGGAGACCCAGGTCCTGCTAGGAGTCTAGCTGAGGAGTCTGAGGGAGGATGGAGGAGACCAAGCAAACCAGAAGGTGCAGAGATCCTCACCTGTGCTATCTGCTCTCAGAGGCCCAGGGTAGAGGTTACTGGAAGACAGGCATGATCACTTCCTCCTCGGTGTTTTCTCTGAGGTGAGACCTGACAGCAAAGGCATCAGGTCAACAGAGGAAGGAATCCCAGATCCTACCAGGAGTCACAGTGGAGACCTGCAAAGTTCAGCACCCCCCAAGACCACCCCCACATCTTACACCAACTGCAAGTTCAGGTGTCCCCAAGCCCCACCTCAGGTTTGATAATGTGCTAGAAGGACTCACAGAACTCACTGAAAGCTAGCATGCTCATGGTTATGGATTATTACAGTGAAAGGATACAGATTAAAATCAGCCAGGAAAAGAGGCACATAGGGCAGAGCCCAGGGAGTTCCAGGGACAGAGCTTCCAGCATTCCTCTCTGCGTGGAGTCCCAGCCAGCACTAACTTCTAGGTAAGACAGTACACATGGAGTATTGCTAACTCCAGAAGCTCACCTGAGCCTTTGTGCCCATTGTTTTTATTGAGGCTCAGTCAGGTCGACGTGGTTGACCACCCACATGACTAACTTCGGGCATTAGCACCTCTGGAGGCCAAGCGAATACCATATGACCCAAGACTGCCATCATAAGTCATTTTCAGCATAGACTATCCAGCACGGCCCAAGGTTTCCAGATAAATATGGACATGATGATCAGGCAAGACATTCCAAGGGCTTAGAGACTGCCTCCCAAGAGCCATGGCCAGACCTCTCTCTGGGCAAGGATTTTTCTCTAGGCATTTCCCTGGACAATGTAATCTTTTACCACACGGTACAGTAGAAGAACTATGGGGGCCACCCATGCCTGACCAGAGGGGTCTCTGCACAACTGCAGCCCTGCCTCAGTCTGGGAGGCCCTAGGCAGGGCTGTTTAGCTGAGAACCCTGTCACTTCTTCTAGACTCTCATATAGTTGAGGGCTTGATTTGAAGGGGTTGATCTTAGGTTAGCAGATTGGATGGAACTAAGGCCCTGCCTTGAGTTGAGGCAAGAACCCTTACTGAGGATTGAGGAGATCACCACCTCAGACTAGAAGAGAACCAGCACAGTCTGGCCCCTGCTGTTCACTCTGGGAGTTCCCCACTGTCACTCTCTCCTCAGAGATAATAGGAAGTGAGAGCCTCAGTCTGACGGGACAGTCCTCAAGTCAGCAGATGGCAGGGAGTGCAGACCCTGCCTGGAGTCAAAGTGAAGACCCTGAGTGAGAATGGAGGGGACTACTCACCCCATCACATGGTGGACCCCACAGAGTCCCATCCCTGCTGTAATCCCTGAACCTCAGCATCTCCTGGGAATGGCTTCGTTGAGCCTGAGGCATCCCTCCAACTCCTCCTTGGGGTCTCAGGTCTCAGGGTATAGGCCAAGAATGTATGCAGGGCATTTCTCACTGTGAGCACCCAGGAATAAAGCTCAGGTGTTCCATGGATCCTGCCAAGTACAGTCTCAGTGTCCAGGAGCATGAGGGATTTAGGTAGCCTCGATCCATGAGACTGAGGTGCACCCTGGAAGGATAAATCCACCCCAGTCCTCCTGGATATTCCCACCCCTCCACAGGAAATAGGGAGAGGTGGTTTTAAATTCTCTCCTAGCTCTACTGCTGGTATTTGGGAGTTTGTGGTTGAAGGATAAACTTGAGCTTTCTCTGTTGAGGGTGGAGAGTGTGGGGGTTTCATGGGGGCAGCCTCAGATTGAGCAGGACAGGCCCTTCTAACTGCCAAGGCGATGACCCCTGAATACAGGCTGAATGTGCCACCATCTGATGCTCCTCTGTCAAGGCTGGGAAGCCCAGAGAATGACTGCTTGCTACTGAGGAGCTAGTTCACTGTATCCTCTAGGGTCTCAGGGGATAGAGTGAACAGAAGGACCAAAGCAGGGGTCAGTATTCTAAAGCACAAATGGCAGAGACAGCCTTCCTCCAATCCATGGGAGAGATTGCTTGCTGAGGCCCCTCACATGTCCCTCACTCCATCCTCCTTCTTCCTCCCTGCTCCTCCTCTGCGGCTCCATGTCCTGCCCTCCTGCCCACATTCTTATCAAGGCCCCTGAGCAGAGTCGAGCCTGGGGCTCAGAAGAGTTGAAGCAGAGCCCACAAGAAACACTGCCAGGCCTGAGGTGAGAACCAGGCTCTTGAGGCTGAGGAGAAGGCTTTCTCCTCACTCTCCTGTTATCAGATCATAGGCTGCTAAGGGGAAACCTGCTGGTGGGACACTCAGTGCTCCTCCATGTCCTTGGAATGCCCGTTTCACCTCCACTGCCGCCTTACCTCCCTTAGGGAGCAGTTCAGGTGAGGGAGCAAGCAGCCACCAGGAAAAGCAAGGCCCCCACCCCTTTCTGAGTTCAGGCCCAGGGATTTCTTGAGCAGTAATGTGGCTGAGTTGGAGGTGTTCCTGCTGCTCAAGAACCAGAAGAAGGAGCCCACCCAAAAGGCAGAAATGCTGGGGCACATCATCCAACAGCACATGGATCACTTCCCTGAGGTCCTCAGCAAAGCCTCTGAGAGCCTGGAGTACTCTTTGGCCTTGAGTTGAGGAAGTGAACATGGATGCCAGGAAGCAATGTGACATCCTCATCAACAAAGTGGAACTTTCCTCTGCTGAGGGACTGAGTGAGTAAAGACTGGGGCTTACCCCAAAGTGGTATTCTGATGTCCATCCTGGACCTAGTTTTCATGGAGGGCAGCTCTGCCCCTGAAGAGGGCATTTGGAATATGCTGAGCAAGTTGAAGATGCTGAGGGGAAGTACATTATTTTTGGGATGCCAAGAAAGCTTTTTATTGAAGAATTTTTGCAGCAACAATATTGAGGCAGATGTGCAAAAGGGATCCTATATGCTACGAATTCCTGTGAGGCCCTCATGACCACACTGAACCCAGAACAGGTGTACATTTTGGGGTTTGCAGACAAGATTATTTACATTGACTTCCCTTCCTACAGGTCAGTGTGCAAAGCGGTCCTGAGAGAAGATCAGGACAGAGTCCAAGCCAGGATTTCAGGGAATAGGGGTACTAATGCCATGGAGTGTGCAGGGGCCAGGGCCATTGCCAGTGGTACAACTGGTGCCAGTGCTATGGCCAGCAGCAAACATAAGTCTGACTGAGGCAGGTAATTCATTCTGTGTTTAAAGTAGGCACTCAAATGTGCTGTAGTGAGAAGTAGTGAAGAGCTGCATGTGTGAAGGGAACACACATGGTATTCCATCGCTGTTCACTATGGACTGAATTGTGTCTCCCTGGCATTTATATGTTGAAGCCCTAACCCCCAATGTGACTTGGAGGTAGAGCCTGGAAGAAGGTAATTAAGGTTAAATGAGGTTGTAAGGGTGGAGCCTTAATTCAATAGGTTTATTGCCCTTCTAAAAGGGTAGTAAAGTGTCTGGCTGACAAGAGGCCAAGTGGCAATGCCTTCTGGAGTGGGGATCATGTGTTCTAGAGGAAAGAGTTTTAGGGACCCTGAATAGGGTTGGCAAGGAAGGTCTACAAATATCTAAATATAGGAATACATGGAATTCCTTTCATGTGACATAAAATGTCTGCTATACATAAGACATTACACTTCTATCATTAATAGAATTATGAGGTATGCAAAAGGACTGGGTATATTAGATTTAAATAAGCAAAGCAAAGGTGTGTGTCCTGTTTTCATAAGCTAATAACAACTCTGAAAACTTCTAAAGCAATGAGTGTAATGAGCACTATCAGGGGAGTGTAAACTTTCATCTGGATATAGGCCTGGTCTGGAGTCTTGGGGGAAGCAGTTTCCTGCAACCGTGGGCTTCTTCTCATCCTGATGTTGGGGCTCCAGCCATCTTGCATTTGGTATCAGGTATTGGGGCTGAATTCCAGATGTCTGCAGGTGTCTTTTGTAGGTGGGATATGTGGATCCAGTAGTCAATGACCTGTAACTTAGCAACACATAGTTGAGTCAGGAGTACCAGGAGTGGACCTTTGATGCGGGGCTTGAGGAAGTTTTTTAGCTGGTGTCTTTTCTAGTAAATGAAGTCTTCTAGTTAGAGGTCATGACATCAGGGTTCATCTTTTGACGGACGACCACAGAAGGATTCCACAACCAGTTTATGGTGAGTTGTTAGAGCCTGAACGAGTCCTTGGCAGTAGGTCAGGAGATCTCCTTGTAACTGAGTAGGGTAAAACATTCCCTCAGTTAAAGGCATGGACTGACCTGCGACAATCTCAAAAGGGGCGAGGTGGTATTTTCCAGAGTGGGTAGACAGCAGGATCAATAGAGCTAGAGGGAGAGCCCTAGGCCAGGGCAGATTAAGAGTGTTTGTAATCTCAGGCAATGGGCTCTTTGTTATTCCATTTATTCATTCTACAAGCCCAGAAGATTGTGGGTGGTAGGTGGATGGAAGTGTTGCAGAATAGGCCAGACATCACAAACTCATTCTAATGCTTGGCTAGTAAACTGGGTTCCTCAATCACTGTGGAGTTCAGTAGGAACTTCCCAAGTGGGGATAATTGTTTCAAAAAGAATTTTGGCTAATACGACCATGATTTGTTTGTAAGCAAAGGCCTCTACCCAATGGGAATACATATCTATTATCTCAAGTATATACTTGCATCCCAGTGAGAAGGGGTACTTGGATAAAATCAAGTTGCCAGCTTGCAAAAGGGCCATTTGGCAATGGGAATTCTCTGGGGGCAGCCTTTGGGGGCTTCCCAGCATTATACAAATAACAGATTTTGCATCATTTGTAGACTTGAGAAGCAACCACTGGGAAAAGACCCCAATTGTACTGTTTTCCCCATTGGATTATTTTGTAAAGGCTCCAGTGGGTGAGGTTATGTTTAAAGGTATGAGTGGCCCTTTGTAAATTTTCTGGAAGGACAGGATGAATGTTAAGCCTCTTCCATAACTGAGATTATGATTTGTAGGTATAACCCTGTTTTGCCCATTTTTCCTTTTATTTTTTCTTTGCACCTGCGGACATCTTTTGAGACCTTGAGAGTCTGGAGACAAGTTTTTTGGAAGATATAATGGGTAAGAGTAGGGTTTGAATGGAAACAGGGATAACAGGAGAAGTGGTACCATTTAGGGCTACAGTCTTGGCTGTAAC